TTTTGTGCAGGTAAAATTGGTACTCTCTCTTACGCCAAAAAAAATAAATAAATAAAAAATCTAAAGGTATTTTTCTGAATAATTCTCGCAAGATAGCAAGACTTGGCTTATATAAGATTGTTGCTCTATTAAAACTGGTCTTGTGTTTTTGGAGAATTGACCTACATTGAACTGTGAACATTCATTACAGAAGAGAGACCGTGACAGCGCAGTGGTTAGCATTATATGTTTTGATATCAAAACGTCATACGCTTTGACGGTGTATGAGAGTATTTAATATATACTTGTTAATACTGTATGTCATTTTGTTATTACTGTAATAATTATTGTTTAAATTGTTTTTTTCTAAAATTATTTAATTTCCTTATTGACCTGAACAACAAAATGACTTGATAGTAAGTTCGAGCCCCGTCACGGACTGAGGTTAGTAAGGACATACACTCAGGGTAACGATTACATCTGCCAAAACAAATCCTTCGTAACAAGGCAACCGTCCTAGCCCTTAGTAGAAAAGGGAGTTCGTGAAGTAAAACCGAATCCAGTAAGAGGAGATTCACTATAGAGTCAAAGTTTTTCGAACTTTAATATTTTTTCTTGAAATTGTTTTTTCCAATATGCTTATTTCTTGAAATCCGGCGAACACTCTCTATAGAGGTTTCCGACTTTAATCACTTTTCTTTTATATTATAATAATATATATATATATATATATATATATATATATATATATATATATATATATATATATATATATATATATATATATATATATATATATATATATATATATATATATATATATATATATATATATATATATATATATATATATATATATATATATATATATATATATATATATATATATATATATATATATATATATATATATATATATATATATATATATATATATATATATATATATACCGATCAGAGCCACAGAGCGACTTTGCATTTAGCGAAGCATGTCAAATTTTTCCGACTTTATCACGACACTTGGCATTATTTTTCTAAAATAATAAAATTTCTTTTCGATCAGAGCTACAGAACGACTTGAAAATTAGTCGGAGGTTCGCTCTGGAGCCAAAGTTTTCCGACCTTTACCGAAACCTTATTTACTATTCTGGTCAGAGGTTGGCTGGTGTCATTCTTGGCATTTCGAACCGCGTTAACACCTCAATAGAATCCTTCGAAAAGAATTTAAGGAATCTCTTCCCTGGATTTTATTGGCATGGATAAGATGTTTACATATGGGCAATTCAACCTGTTGTGTTTTGTATGTGTGTGTGTGTGTGTGTGTTTTGTGTGTGTGTGTGCGTGTGTGTGGGTGTGTGTTTGTGTGTAAGTGTGTGTGTGTGTGTGTGTGTGTTCTCACAGGTTTTTGTTTCATGCGCGGAGAGAGAGGGACAAAAATAATTCCTCCGTGTTTCCCTGCGTGTCGTAAAAGTTGACTAAATGGGGTGGAGTGAGGGGACTGGAAATCAACTCCTCTTAATTTTCTTCCCGCAAATAGTCAAGGTATTTGGCTTTGACTAAGCCATCCCCTTATAAGGAGGAATATGGCTCTTGCACATACATAGATTTATGTATAAAAAGCCTCGGCTCTTTGTGGGAGGTAAATACAGAGGAGTGGATTCCCAGACCCCTCGCTCCACCCCGATTAGTTGACTTTTACCACACGCAGGGAACACGGTGGAGGTAATGTTGTTCCCCCCGTGGTGTTAGGTACTCAATAAAGGACGAAACATTTGTTTTATTGTATGTAATATATGAGGCTTGTTGTTTTAATTGAATTTAGAGTTATAAAATTGTGTCTGATTATATAAAACAAGTTTCTGACGTGTTTTTAATTTGACAATTTGTATTTTATTATATTTTTTACATTTTTATTTTTGAAGTACACCAATGCCCGTCTTTGCTATGAAAGCAATAAGTGTACATGGGAACATGTGGGCGAAGGCACTCTCTCTTCTATGCAAATTCAGTAACCATATTTGGATTGGGTACTTTTTGCCGTCACCCTTTAAACGCCGCTCTTTTGGCGCTGCTCTTTTAGCGCTAAGCTGTTTTGGTGTTGCCTTTTGGGGAGTAACCTAACCTAACCTAACCTAATATAACTTAGCAAAAACAACTTAGTGCCATAAAGGCAGGCAACGTCAAAACAATTTAGCGCCAAAAGAGCAGCGCCAAAAGAGCTGCGCCAAAAGGGCGGTGCCATAAGGGCGGCACTAAATAGTCCAATTCCACTCATATTCATATCACCTATTTAAGTATTGCTGTAATGTAATTCATATTTTATTACATATGAATCCATTGCCTATGACATTTTCACAGATATTTGTATAGATAAATTCTTAACAATTAGTCATTCTTAACAGAACAAAAATTGAATTAATGTAAAATATCCGAATATGGTAATGATATAATACATGCATATATATACATGGCCCCATTCCCCTTTGTAAAGGGGTGGCCGAGCCAAGAAACACATTCACCA